AGAGAGAGAGAGAGAGAGAGAGAGAGAGAAAGAGAGAGCCTGTAGCCCCAGCTGGCCTGGAACTTGCTATGTAGACCAGGCTATCCTGTATCTCACATAGATCTGCTTGCCTCTGCCTCTGGAGTGCTGGGATTAAAAGTGTGTACCACAACACCTGGAGATAAAATTTTTTTTAGATGCAGATTACATTCTCAACATCAAGTGTCAACAGGGGTCTGGAATATTGCTATTACAATGAGAAAGGATGGATCTGTTAAGTGGCTTAGACCTTTTAGTTTACATATCATCATCCTACCTGTTGGTATGCCCAGTTTAGCAACTTGTATCTGTAGGATCGCCTCATTGGATAAGACAGACTATAAACTGCATGTAGCACAGCAAAAAAGAAACTGAGGAGCCCAAACTGCTTCCTTGTCAGCATCCACCTGTCTAACCACGGTGGGAATTTCTTATACTTGGTTCCATTCTGAAGCTGTACAACTGCTGCGATCACTCCTGGCAAATACACCAGTGCCAAGAGGGTAATGGAGACCATTGGCAAGACTTTGTTGATGACCAGAATTGGAATTTTATAAAAATACAATTGATGGGAAGTTACTAAAGGGAAAATGATTTCCCTCAGGAGAGTGTACAGGAAAGTCAGAGATGATACTATAGCAGCTATTTTCATTGGCAAGCGCCAATTTGGAAAGAGCTCCTGTGTGCGCTGGAACTCTGAGGGGCAGTCAAATGCATCATAGTGGGCTGTGTGCTGCAAAGGCAAGGGCCCAGGTCTTTTCAGCATGCTAGTCTCTCCTATGTCCTTAGTCTGCAAAAGAAATAAAAGAAACTTCATTATGGATCCTTATATTTACAGACAAGCATACTGTACACCATTCATCAAAGAAGCTTCTTTTTACAAAGATGAAGGCTACTGCAATATTCCACAACTGATTGAATACAGAGACTATATGTCTGAGAGATGCCCACCCAGTCCTAGGTGACATATCTACAGTTGAACCTCTACACCTAAGGCTCAAGGAACATAGTGGAACAGGGGGTGGGAAGAAAACTAGGACACCCCTCAACTCTCACCAGTGAAGCTTCCTTATACAACAGAATGCAATGCACAAAGAAGGACAAAACTGGCCAATTTTAAAGAATAAAAGACTGTAGAGGGTGTGTCCCTGGATAGGACTCCTATATTAAACCTCACCCACCCATCGCTCAGGGACCATTGCAGAAGAGGAGGCGGAAAATTGTAAGAGCCAGGGCTGGTTCATGAACACAGGGAAGAGGAGGTTTTCAGACTATGAGACGCTTGCACATGTGAACTTGTGGCAATGGTAGCATCCAGTTACACATAGTTGTTGGCTACCACATGGGTGATGAGTACAGGACCCATGCCAACTCAATCAGACAAGTGCCCAGAGTAGAGCAAGAAAAATGGGTGGCAGTCTGGTCCTAGACTGGAAACTATAGGAGACTGATTACTACTGGGTGAGGGAGAGTATCCCTTACTTACAATCTCTAGATAGTCTAACTAGACTCCAGTGGATGGATTTGCAACAAAGGACAATTTCATTAAGCTACAAAGCTTCTGTACAGCAAAAGAAACAACCAAGGAAGAAAAGAGGAAACCCACTGAATAGGAGAAAATCTTTACTAGCTGTACATCCCATAGAAGATTAATATCCAGAATATACAAAAAACTCAAAAAACAAACAAAAAACAAAGGACCCAATTAAAAGACAGGCTATAGACCTGTACAGAGAGTTCTCAAATGAAGAAATAAAAAATAACTAAGAAACACCTTTAAAAGTGCTCAACATACTTAGTAACTAAAGAAATGCAGATTAAAAACTGCCTTAAGATTCCATCTTAACCCAGTCAGACTGGCTATGATCAAGAGAACAGAAGACACCAGATGCCAGAGAGGATGTGGAGAAAGGGGAAGACTCATTCACTGCTGGTGTGAATGAAAACTCATACAAGCACTATGGAAAGCAGCATGGAGAACTCTTAAAACACTAAAAATGAACCTACCATATGATCCAGTTATACCACTCCTTAGCATATACCCAACGGATTCATCCTATTGTAGAGATACCTGTACATCCATGTTTGTTGCTGCTTTCTTCAAAATAGTTAAGAAATGGAAACAACATAAATGTCCCTCGACTGATGA